TTTTTTTTTTTTTTTTTTTTTTTTTTTTTTTTTTTTTTTTCTGAGGTGGAATCTTGCTCTGTCGCCCAGGCTGGAGTGCAATGGCATGATCTCTGCTCACTGCAACCTCTGCCTCCTGAGTTCAAGCGATTCTTCTGCCCCAGCCTCCCCAGTAGCTGGGATTACAGGCACTCACCACCACGCTCGGGTACTTTTTGTATTTTTAGTAGAAACAGGATTTCATCATGTTGGCCTGGCTGGTCTTGAACTCCTGACTTCAGGCAATCAAAGTGTTGGGACTTGGCCTCCCAAAAGTGCTGGGATTATAGGCGTGAGCCATCCCACCTGGCCTGGGTTACTTTTATAGCCCTCCTGTTTCCCTTTCAAAAAATAAAACCTGATGGCTACATTTTCAGTGCTAAGTGGGGAGTCATCAAATGGAGCCAGCCTGATTTGGAGTCTGAATGTAATTCCTCTTCACTAAAAGAGGCGGTGTCTTCACATATGAGGTCTAGCTCCTGCCATGGGCATCTGGACAGGCAGCTCGGGAGTCTTCTGACTGTTTCCCGTCTGGAAACTAAGTTCAAAAACGCCACCTAAATACCTTGGGGACACATGAGGATGCAGGTCATAGTTGCCCGTTTCAGATGTATGCGTTTGGGTCCAAACTCATGGGTCCTGTGTTCTGTCCACACCCCTGTCACCCCAGGCTTCTCTATCTGAGATGTGCAAAGAAATCCAGACAGGACCAGTCACCACTGTGTGCTGCGTGCTGCCTCCTGACCAGTCTGTGCGACACCGTGGGGGCCATTCTGGCCAGACAGCTCACAATCCAGGTATGTTGGGCCGACAGCTGACGGTGGCTTAGGCCAGCAGAGGGCTGACCTCGCTCCCTGCTGCAGCCATGTGGCATCTGTCTTGTTGCTTCAACGTGCGTAGCACAATGTCGTCTCAGAACCTGTGCCTTTGCTGTTCTTTCTGCCCCCCCTCCGAGGCTCTTGTTTCCGATATCCGCTTGGCTCCCTGCTTAGTCCTTCAAGTCCTTGCTCAAAAGTCACCTTCTTATGGCCAGGTGGGGTGGCTTAGGCCTGTAATCCCAGCACTTTGGGAGGCTGAGGCGGGTGAATCACTTGAGGTCGGGAGTTGGAGGCCCTGTCTCTACTAAAAACAAAATTAACCGGGCGTGGTGCATGCCTGTGATCCCAGCTACTGGGGAGGCTGAGGCAGGGAGAATCACTTGAACCTGGGAGGCGGAGGTTGCAGTTAGCCGAGATCACGGTACTGCGCTCCAGCATGGGTGGCATAGCAAGACTCTGTCTCAAAAAACAAGCAAAAAAAAGTCACCTTCTCAATAAGACCTCCCTGCTTATAATGGTGACCAACCTCTTCCACCAGTGTTCTGGATTCCATTATTCTAATCTATTTTTTGTCTACAGCTTAATCCCTAATGCACCACATACTTTACTCATGTGTACTCCTTTTTTTTGGACACAGTCTTGCTCTGTTGCCCAGGCTGGAGTGCGGTGACATGATCTTGGCTCACTGCAACCTCTGCTTCCTGGCTTCAAGCAATTCTCCTGCCTCAGCCTCCTGAGTAGCTGGGATTACAGGTGCCCACCACCATGCCCACCTAATTTTTTTTTAAGCCTTCTGCAGCTTGTAACCCAGCTAATTTTTGTATTTTTAGTAGAGACAGGGTTTCGCCATGTTGCCCAGGCTGGTCTTGAACTCCTGAGTTCAGGACAATTTGCCCACCTCGGCCTCCCAATGTGCTAGGATTTACAGGCTTGAGCTGCCGAGCCTCACCTGTTTATTACTTCTTGTATGTGAACTCCCATTAGAATGTCAGCTCCACAAGGGCAAGGCTTTGTTCACTGCTGTATCCTTATCACTTTAAACAGCACCTGGCACCTAGTAGGTGCTTAATAAATAGTCATTTAGAGCTTTGACCCAGCCACAGCTCATTAGGTGTGGCTGAGTCTTTTCCAGGTAGTGATGTAGGCGTTGGGGCAAGGGAAAAGTAGCTTCAAGTTTCCCAAAAGCCTAGGCCCTCAGACAAACCTGTGTAGAAGGGTCCTATCCCAAAACACGTATCCCTAGGAAATCCTGTTGTGCCCACTGTGGAAGCGCCTCCTGGGACTGTTCTTGGCCTTATGCCCATCCAGGTAGAAATGAAGGAAGGCAGCCTTGTGGGCAGGGCACAGATCTGGAGCATTCTAGACCCTGCTGCAAGCGGCGTTGTCTCAAAAGCAAATCACCTTTCATTTTGGGTGCCCATTCTCATTAGCTAATAGAATACAATAGGGCCAGCTGGGTGAGGTGGTTCATGTCTGTAATCCTAGCACTTTGGGAGGCTGAGGTGGGCACACTGCCTGAGGCCAGGCGAGACCAGCCTGGCAACATGGAGAAACCTAGCCCCTCGGGGTGGTACATGCCTATAATCCCAGCAACTCGGGAGGCTGAGGCAGGAGAATCGCTTGAATCGGGGAGGCAGAGGCCGCGGTGAGCTGAGATGGTGCCACTGCACTCCAGCAAAGATACTTGAATGCCAAGACTCTCTTCCCACTTGCTCCCAGGTCTTCACGGGTGCCTACCTCGCAGCTATTGACTTAGCGAACTTCATGTTCACCCTCTTCCCAGTCTGTGGATCCAGATTCAAGTCTAATTCAGGTGAGTACATGGCTGTCTGTTCCTGTCTCTATTCACTCATTCATTCATCAGCACACCGAACGCCTGCTCCCTAGGGCTCTCTGAGTGGGCACCAGCCAGACGCAGAGAAAGGAGAGGGTCTCATTAGGGTTGCCAGCTTGGAGGTGTGTGCACACTGTGGGCAGCCAGAGGGAGGGAAGGGCTGCTGGTGTCAAGGAAACTCAGGGCCCTAGGGCTGGGACCACAGGCCGGGCATTTGGGCCCACAGAGCCTCATGGGCAAAGGCTAGGAGGAGGGTGGAGCAAGGCGTGGGGATGAATAGTGATATCTCAGCGTGCAAGTTTGGGGTGGCCAGGTGAAGCTTCACAGCTGCTGGAAGTGGATGCCAGAAACAGGCACGGGGCACCACAGGCAGGGGCTGGAAATGACGGGGCCAGGATGAGTGGCCTGAGCGTCTGCAGCTGGGGCTTCTTGAGAAGGGTCAGCAGTGCGCTTGGACCCTTGTTTAAAAACAAGGGATGAGGGGATGGGCGTGGTGCCTCATGCCTGTAATCACAGCACTTTGGGAAGCTGAGGCAGCCAAAGGGAGGTCGGGAGTTTGAGACCAGCCTGGCATGCAGCTGTAATCCCAGCTACTTGGGAGGCTGAGCCAGGAGAATCGCTTAAACCTGGGAACTGGAGATTGCGGTGAGCCAAGATAGCGCCACTGTAGTTCAACATGGGCGACAAGAGTGAACTCCTTCTCAAAAAAAAAAGAAAAAAAAGGGGATGAACTGCATGTGGTGGCTCATCCCTGTAATCCCAGCACTTTGGGAGGCTGAGGTGGGAAGATTGCTTGAGACCAAGAGTTTGAGACCAGCCTGGGCAACATAGCAAGACCCTAGCCTGCAAACATTTTAGAAAGTAGCTGGGCATGGTGGTACATGCCTGTGGTCCCTGCTGGGGAGACTGAGGTGGGAGGATCACTTGAGCCCTGGAGGTGGAGGCTGCAGTGAGCTGTGATTGTGCCAGTGCACTCCAGCCTGGGCAGCAGAGCAGGACCCTGTCTCAAAAATAAACAAATATGTTAGAGGGACTGCTGCATCAGTGTGTAGTGTAGCATGCCCTCAGCTGCTCAGTGCTGGCCACTGAGTATTTTTAGAGTTTCCCAGGAGAGAGCTGGGCAGTGGTTTATACCTAGAATCCCAGCCACTCATGAGGCCGAGGTGGGAGATTGCTTGAGCCTAGGAGTTCAAGTCCAGCCTGGGTAATATAGTGAGACTTCATCTCTAAAAGAAAAAACAAATACAATTGCTCAGAGGAGGGTCTATCTTATATTTCAAGGAAATTTTCAGACACCATTCATGGCTGGGCACGGTGGCTCACGCCTGTGATCCCAGCACTTTGAGAGGCTGAGACGGAAAGATCACGAAGTCAGGAGTTCGAGACCAGCCTGGCCAACATAGTGAAACCCTGTCTCTACCTAAACTACAAAAAATTAGTCAGGCGTGGTGTCAGGCACCTGTAATCTCAGCTACTTGGAAGGCTGAGGCAGGAAAATCACTTCAAACCAGGAGGCAGAGGTTGCAGTGAGCAGAGATCCCACCATTGCACTCCAGCCCGGGCAACAGGGCGAGACTCCGTCTCAAACACCGACAACAACAACAAAGAAATAAAGGCCTCGCTCACTGCTGTTTGTCCCGTTCACAGTTCCTGCTGCTGCCATCACCGATTCGCTGGTTGATGCTCTTACCACGCTTGAGCTTGTACCAGCTCTGCTCTGCAGAGACTGTAGAAACCACCAGGGATGGGGCGTTATGCTTAGGAGCGCTAGTCCCGATGAGGCACTGCTGTCTGCATGCAGATACTTACCATAGAAGATAATGTCATCTCTCATCGCTGCCTAAGGAAGGAGAACAGCACCAGTTACGGGGGCAGGGGTGTGCCTCAGTGGTGGAGAGGAAAGGCTCCTTGGAGAGGTGGCACAGCTACAGGGCCCCGAAGGGTGGGGAGGAGCTGGCCTGCAGAATAACGTGGGACCCTGCTTTGGCGTCATGTGGGGAGTTGACACCCGTTTTTCCCATGCAGCTATCTGACAAGTTCTAGGTCCCAGGAGCCACATGGGATTTTGGTGTCTGTTGCAGATTGGGAAGCCCGAGAGAGGAACAGGAGGCGGCAGCTTGGGGCCGGCGTGTTTGCCCTGGCCCTGCCGCTGAGCCTGGGTCCATGCTGGGCCCTCTGGGTTGCTGTCCCGAAGGATTCAGCCACCATCCGGGGGCCGCAGCGGAGGCTGCTGGCGAACCTGCTGCAGGTGAGGCTGAGCCACTGTGGGGAGGACTCGTGGTACTGCATGTCCTGCCAAATGCCCAGGGTGGGATGAGGCGGGAGCCGGGGCAGTAGGGTTAAGCCTTCCATTGTTGGAAGAAACCTAAAAGCAGGAAAGGACCCCTGAGCTTTGGCTGTTTCTTGGGGCGCATGGGCAGACTCCACAGAGTGCTGATGGCAGATCACCTGTTCTTGCAGGAAAACCCTGAGATTCTTGGCTACCTTCTGGGTGGCATTGCTGCCTTCGGCTCCTGGGCTTCTCGGATCCCCCCTCTCTCCAGAATTGTGAGGCTGGGGGTGGGCCTGGGACCGTGGGTCACATGGCAGGTCTCAGGGCATCTGGGAGCATCCTGAGAGGGCCAGGTCATGGGGCGGGGGTGTGGCGTCACCATGGGGCCATGCACGTGGACTCAGATTTTTCTCAAGAGCATTAGTGTGTGTGACAGCAAGTAGGGGGTGTGTGTGGAGAGTGGGCAGCCAACCTGGGCGTTCTGAGGACTGCGGGAGCCTCCCGGGGAAAGCCCAGGTGTACTTTCCCATTTCCTATAGCAAATGAAAAGCAAGCTCTGAGGAAAAGGCCCCTAAACTGGATAAATCCAGGAGAGAATGAAATTTGAGAGACTACAGGAGTCAGCTATGAGGTTCTGTGTAGATCAAGAGTGTCTTACTGACAGGCATTCTTCAGGCATCCGCGTGAGGGAGGCCCTGTGTTGACCAGTCCTGGGGGGTAAGATGTGAGCAGGGCCGAGCGCTCGCCCACGGGAGCTCACGGTCTCATGGAAGACACAGGAATGTGAAGCAGCATCTCCTAATGGTTGAAGAAAGATAGGAACGAATGTTGGGCCCGGGCGCGGTGGCTCACACTTGTAATCCCAGCACTTTGGGAGGCTGAGGCAGGTGGATCACAAGGTCAAGAGTTCGAGACCAACTTGGCCAACACAGTGAAACCCCGTCTCTACTAAAAATACAAAAATTAGCTGGTCATGGTGGCAGGCAGCTGTAATCCCAGCTACTCAGGAGGCTGAGGCAGGAGAATCGCTTGAACCCAGGAGGCGGAGGTTGCAGTGAACCGAGATTGTGCCACTGCACTCCAGCCTGGGCGACAGAGCTAGACTCCATCTCAAAAAAAGAAAAGAAAAAAAAGAAACATTTGAGATTTCAGAAGAGAGAGAGGAGAGAGAAGCCTCCTACGCTCTTCAAATGAGCAAGGGTGAAAGCCACGCTGCCAGGCGGTGGGGTAGTGGGGAGGTGTCGTGTCGGCTCAGAAGGGAACATGAATTTCAGGACACAGGCTAGGGAAAGGCCATCAGCAGAGGAGAGCACACAGGAAAAGCCCCCACGCGTGAAAGCGCCTGAGAAACAGCAAGACTGGACGTGTGACAGCCACTCTGCCAAGTGTCCTGTGCAGATGACTCTGAGACAACTGCTCCTGTCTCACTGATTAAACAGTGGCCAAATCCAACCCCGTGGCATGCCACAGGCCCATTTTGTCTAAAAAGAATCAGCCGGTGCGGTGGCTCCTGCCTGTAATCCCAGCACTTTGGGAGGCCGAGGCGGGTGGATCATTTGAGGTCAGGAGTCCAAGATCAGCCTGGCCAACATGGCAAAACCCACATCTCTACTAAAAATACAAAAATTATCCAGGCATGGTGGCGGGTGCCCGTAATCCCAGCTACTCGGGAGGCTGAGGCAGGCAAATCACTGGAACCTGGGAGGTGGTGGTTGCAGTGAGCCGAGATCGCGCCACTGCACTCCAGCGCAGGTGACAGAGCAATAATCCATCTCAGAAAAAAAAAAAAAAAATTACTTGCCCAAGAGTGTCCTGATTAGCGTTCGGGGATGGAGCATTGTTAGTGGTTGTTCATGAAGTCAGTGAAGCTGAAGTCTGTGCTGTGACTGCCACATGGGCCTCATCAGCAGGTGTCCTGTGTTTAGATTAATGGAGAGGAGAGTGGTGACCACCGGTGGTCTAGGGGGACAAATGTCCAAATCATACCACTCTCCCTCCTGTTCTCCCAGCGTCAGGTGCCGGGGCACTGAGATGGTGAGGACCCCGCCCAGCTCTCAGGAGCCCTCTGACTGTGTAAAGAGCTGAGTCATGATCAATAAAAGGTAGTCTGCTAGAGGGATGTGTTAGGGCCCAGAAGAGGGAGTTGCTTGTTCTCCTTAGGATGGAGTTGGTAAGGGAAGGTGTCCCAGGGTTAAGCTCAAGCCAGGTCCTGAGGGATGAGTAGGAGTCTGACAGGCAGAAGAAGCAACTTGAGCAAAAACTGGAAATGTAACAGAAGCATTGCCCTGGGGGACTGGCTGTGGGCAGAGGGCTTGCCCGAAACCTGCTGTGCCACTGAGGGACCTGGGTCTTGTGATCTGGTGCTCCTCCCTGCCCAGCCCCTTCCTCTCTCTGTGCAGTGCCGGGGAAAGACATTTCCCTCCATCCACCTGTGGGCCCGGCTCCTGTCGGCCCTGGCTGGCCTCCTCTATGCCTCAGCCATTGTGGCCCACGACCGGCAGCCTGAGTACCTGCTGCGAGCCACACCCTGGTTCCTGACCTCCCTGGGCCGCGCTGCGCTGGACCTCGCTGTATCCACCCAGGCCTGGGAAGCTCCCTGCCTGCAGCCAGTGGAGGCCTGTGTCTCCACCGCTCCCTGCCCCTGCCCCACTCTCCTTTTCTCTTGCTAGATGGAATTCTCCCAGCAGCCAAGGTGTGGTTTGAAGGTTGGGGCAGGCAGGCTGGGTGTGGTGGCTCACACCTGTAATCCCAGCACTTTGGGAGGCTGAGGCATGTGGATCCCCTGAGGTCGGGAGTTCGAGACCAGCCTGACCAACATGGAGAAACCCCCCCTCTCTACTAAAAAAAAAAAAAAAGAAAACTAGCCGGGTGTGGTGGCGTGTGTCTGGAATCCCAGCTACTTGGGAGGCTGAGGCAGAAGAATTGCTTGAACCCATGAGGGAGGGGGAGGTTGTGGTGAGCCGAGATCAAACCATTGCATTCCAGCCTGGTCAACAAGAGTGAAACTCCATCTCAAAAGAAAAAAAAAAGGAGAAGAAGGTTGGGGCAGGCAAACACAAATGCAATTATTTGTAGTTTTATGTTTCCCTTTTTTTTCTTTTGAGACAGAGTCTTGCTGTGTTGCCCAGGCTAGAGCGCAATGGCGAGATCTCGGCTCACTGCAACCTTCACCTCCCAGGTTCAAGCAATTCTCCTGCCTCAGCCTCCCAAGTAGCTGGGTCTACAGGTGTGTGCCGTCATGCCTGGCTAATTTTTGTATTTTTAGTAGAGACTAAAAATGTTTGCATTTTTAGATGCTGCCTGTGGGTAATGGCTATGCTGTGTTGGTGGTGGGGTGTGTGTGAAGGCAAAGCAGGGCCGCACCCTCTCTGCAGGCGCTAGAGGGGAGTCTTCGCTTGCCTCGTCCAGCTGCTGGTGGCTCTTGGTGTCCCTTGGCATATGGTGGCATCATTTTCATTTCTGCCTCGGCCTTCCCATGGCCCTCTTCCTTTGTGTATCTTCCTATGTCTCCTTTTCTTACGGGGACTCCAGTCACTGGAGTCAGGGCCCAGTCTAATCCACAATGACTCCATTGTAATTATATCAGCAAGGACCCTACTTCCAATAAGGTCACAGTCTGGGCCAGGCGTGGTGGCTCACACCTGTAATCCCAGCACTTTGGGAGGCCGAAGTGGGTGGATCACCTGATGTCAGGACTTCGAGACCAGTCTGGTAAATGTGGTGAAACCCCGTCTCTACTAAAAATACAAAAATTAGCTGGGCATGATGGCAGGTGCCTGTAATCCCAGCTACTTGGGAGGCTGAGGCAGGAGAATTGCTTGAACTGGGGAGGCAGGGGTTGCAGTGAGCTGAGATGATGCCACTGTACTCCAGCCTGGGCAACAGAGAAAGTCTCTGTCTCAAAAAAAAAAAAAAAAAAAGTCACGTTCTGAGATGGATCTGAATTTTTGGGGACACTATCCAACCCACCGCATGTATTGTCACTGTCAGCCAGGCCGGTCAAGAAAGATGTTCCAGGCCAGGCACGGTGGCTCACGCCCGTAATCCCAGCACTTTGGGGGGCTGAGGCGGGCAGATCACGTGAGGTTGGGAGTTCGAGACCAGCCTGACCAACATGGAAAAACCCCGTCTCTACTAAAAATACAAAATTAGCCCGGCATTGTGGCACATGCCTGTAATCCCAGCTTCTTGGGAGGCTGAGGCAGGAGAATCGCTTGAACCCGGGAGGCGGAGGTTGCGGTGAGCCGAGATTGCACCATTGCACTCCAGCCTGGGCAGCAAGAGTGAAACTTCATCTCAACAACAACAACTACAAAAAAAAAAAAAAGATGTTCTTCATAATGCTTTTGTTTTGCAAATATTTACCAAGTGCTTGTTAGGGACAGGGTCTCATTGGGTGCTGGGCCCTTGTGGGGACAGGACTGTGTGTCTTCAGATGAGCTACTCTCTGTCCCAGGCAGGATAAAACTGGGGAGGGAGGAGAGTAGGGGAGTCGGGGTGGGGGCAGCATGGTGTGAAGGGGTGAAGGGCCGCAGTAGGCGGCTGGAATCTGCTTCCTACCTTAACTTCCACCGTCTCAGATTATTTTCCTTTCGTGTGTGATGAAGAGCAAGATGAGACAGGCCTTGGGATTTGCCACTGAAGCCAGAGAGAGCCCCGACAGCCAAGCCCTTTTGACCTGGGCGGAGAAAGAGGAAGAGGACCAGGAGGTGAGGAATGAGCACAAGGTCTCTGGCTGGAAAACTCTGGTCCCAGCCACAGTATCTTGAGAAGCAGCAGGATGCTGTGGACGTGTGAAAGCTGCCTGCCGAGTGTTCTCTGCAGGCGACAGACAGCTGTCCTGTGTCACTGACGGAACAGTGGTTAAATCTAACATGACGTGTAACAGCCCGTCGTGTTTACTGGCATGGAGTGGACGGGGCAGTGAGCCTCAGTCAGGGCTGGGACTTAGGAATTCTGGAAGTCCCTCCCTGCTTGGCCAGTTGGTCACTTGATTTTTATTTGTATTTTATTTTACTTTATTTTTATTTATTTATTTGTTTTTTGAGATGCAGTCTCGCTCTGTTGCCCAGGCTGGAGTGCAGTGACGCAATCTTAGCTCACTGCAACCTCCGCCTTCCAGTTTCAAGCAATTCTCCTGCCTTATCCTCCCGAGTAGCTGGGATCACAGGCACGTGCCACCACACCTGGCTAATTTTTTTTTTTTTTTTTTGAGATGGAGTCTCACCCTGTCACCAGACTGGAGTGCAGTAGTGCGATCTCAACTCACTGCAACCTCTGCCTCCTGGGTTCAAGTGATTCTCCTGCCTCAGCCTCCTGAGTAGCTGGGACTATAGGTGTGTACCACCATGCCCAGCTAATGTTTGTATTTTTAGTAGAGACAGGGTTTCACCATGTTGGCCAGGATGGTCTTGATCACTTGACCTCGTGATCTGCCCGCCTTGGCCTCCCAAAGTGCTGGGATTACAGGCGTGAGCCAGGGTGCCCAGCCCACTTGGTCACTTTAAAAAGCTACTGTTGGCCGGGTGCGGTGGCTCAAGCCTGTAATCCCAGCACTTTGGGAGGCCGAGGCGGGTGGATCACGAGGTCAAGAGATCGAGACCATCCTGGTCAACATGGTGAAACCCCATCTCTACCAAAAATACAAAAAATTAGCTGGGCATGGTGGTGCGTGCCTGTAATCCCAGCTACTCAGGAGGCTGAGGCAGGAGAATTGCCTGAACCCAGGAGGCGGAGGTTGCGGTGAGCCGAGATCGCGCCATTGCGCTCCAGCCTGGGTAACGAGTGAAACTCTGTCTCAAAAAAAAAAAAAAAGCTGCTGTTTATGTTCAAAGCTAAGGGAACCCTGAATGCAATAGGATCCTATGTTTTCCCAGTTATACAAATATTTTGAGTTTTTTTTGATCACTTAATGACTTAATATATTGTTAGCAATGTAGATGAAATAGTCAAATGCCCACTGAATTCTTCTGAATAATTTACTTAGTGGTATATAAGTTCACATACTACCTACCTTAATATATTCATTTTTAAATAATGTGATTTTGGCCGGGTGCTGTAGCTCACACCTGTAATCCCAACACTTTGTGAGGCCAAGGCAGGCAGACTGGTTGAGCTCAGGAGCTGAAGACCAGCCTGGGCAACAGGGTGAAACCCTGTCTCTACCAAAAATACAAAAAATCGGCCAGGTGTGGTGGCGCATGCCTGTAGTCCCAGCTACTTAGGAGGCTGAGGCAGGAGGATCTCTTGATCCTGGAGGCAGAGGTTGCAGTGAGCCAAGATGGCACCACTGCATTCCACTACAGAGTGAGACTCCCATCTCAAAAAAATAAATAGGGCCAGGCATGGCGGCTCACTCCTGTAATCCTAGCACTTTGGGAGGCTGAGGCAGGCAGATCACAAGGTCAAGAGTTGGAGACCAGCCTGGCCAACATGGTGAAACCCTGGCTCACTAAGAATACAAAAAAAAAATCAGCCAGGTGTGATGGTGCACGCCTGTAGTCCCAGCTGCTTGGGAGGCTGAGGTAGGAGAATCACTTGAACCCAGGAGGCGGAGGTTGTGGTGAGCTAAGATCGCACCATTGCACTCCAGCCTGGGCAACAGAGGGAGACTCCATTTCAAAAATATGAATAAATAAATTCTGTGATTTTCACTCATATTTCTCCAAAAACCGTATTCCCACCTTCACAGGCATCTTTAGCATCCACGTCATTGCCACCACCTAGCAGTGCTCCAGAGGTTGTCATCATGCTCAGCTATGATACAGCCTTCGGGAATCGGCTTGTGATGCTGTCTCCACGAAGTTTTCTCAAGCTGCAAAGACCCATTTGCTATTTGTGGTCACTGGAATGTAACTGCTAACTCTGTTGCTTTTTGTTGTTGTTGTTGATAATGCTAAAAAGCTGATCTTTAAAAGTGTTGTTTAGGCTGGCGCAGTGGCTCACGCCTGTGATGCTAGCCCTTGGGGAGGCCTAGATGGGCAGATTGCCTGAGCTCAGGAGTTCGAGACCATCCTGGGCAACATGGTGAAGCCCCGTCTCTACTAAAAATACAAAAAAATCAGCCGGGCGTGGTGGAGGGCGCCTGTAGTCCCAGCTACTCAGGAGGCTGAGGCAGGAGAATCACTTGAACCCAGGAGGGGAGGAGGTTGCGGTGAGCTGAGATTGTGCCACTGCACTCCAGCCTGGGCAACAAAGTGAAACTCTGTCTCAATAAATAAATCAATAAATTTTAAAAAGTAACAATGTTGTTTACCGTAATATCAAACCTTTACAATTATGTCATGCCACTGCCAAAAGTTAACATGTCCCCTTTTATTGATTTAAATAGGTGACCTCTATAAGTAGCCAGAACTTATTCTATTCTAATTGAAGCCATTTGTCTTCATCAAAATTCCGACTGAGTCAATGAAATAGAAGATCATGGTGTATACATATGACAGATGAAAGCGTTTTATATAGGTCCTCAGACCAGAGATCCAAGTTCCCAGTGTAGGCCCTAGTGGGAAGTTATTTTCATTTCTTGTAGCAACTGTTAGGAAATTGTACCCCAAAAGGGGGCTAAAATATTAACAGGGCGCTGGTTGTCTTGGAATTCTGAAGAGAGAAGTGGAAGCCTTTGGAGTCTCTTCAGCAATCCTTCAGAGCAGTGGCCCTAAACCAGGATTACCTAGGACATGTTAGAAATGCAAATTCGAGGGCCCCACACTATCTCCTGAATCTGAAACTGAGGGTGTGGTCCAGGAATATGTATTTTATTTATTTTTGAGATGGAGCCTCACTCTGTTGCACAGGCCGGAGTGCAGTGGCATGATCTCAGCTTATTGCAATTTCTGCCTCCTGGATTCAAGCGATTCTCCTGCCTCAGCCTCCCAAGTAGCCGGGATTGCAGGTGCCTGCCACCACGCCTGAACAATTTTTGTATTTTCTTTTCTTTTCTTTTTTTTTTTTTGAGACAGAGTCTTGCTCTGTCACCAGGCGCCAGGCACATTGGGAGGCTGAGGTGGGAGGATCACTCCTGGATCACTTGAGCCCAGGGGTTTAAGACAAACCTGGGCGACACAGTGAGACTTGTCTCTACAAAAAAACAAAAAACGTAAAAAATAAAGATTCCTAGCTGATTCTACTATGCAGCAAAATTTGGGAACCATTAAATTACTGTCACCTCAAAGAAAAAGATAAGATACATCTTATAGGAAGCAGAAAGTGAGATGTGCTGTAAAAAAAAGAGAGAGAGAGAAAATACCACTGGGGTTCTTTTGGATAAAATGTGACCTTGTTTTTAGAAAATGCCTCCTAACTTTGAGAATTCTCCTTTCTGTCTCCCTGCCTCTGCTTGCAAGAATTCGGATTGGGTGCCTCTCACCACACTGTCACACTGCAAGTCACTGAGGACAATGACAGCAATCAGTCGCTACATGGAGCTGACCATCGAGCCTGTGCAGCAGGTGAGTGGCCATTGGTCACATCCAGGTGCCCAAGAGGGTGGGAAGCAGTCATGGAAGGCTTCCTGGAGGAGGTGATGCTTTAGCTGAGGGATGAGCAAGACAAAGCAGAGAAGCAGGTAAAAAAGGAGCTCTCCAAGTGGGGCTGTTGGAGAGAAAAATATTTTTCCTGTACCCTCATAACTGATGAAACATAGACTAACGAGAAAAAAAACAGCTTTAGTCACTTGTACATGGAAATTTACAAAGAAGACTGTGGCTCAAGGAGGTGGCCGGATGATGGTGGCTTATATACCATATTAGGCTGAATAAAGGGAAAGAGGTTTGGGGTTCTGGGGTGGGAGGCAAGTTGAGGGAGGACCTGTGTGATAAGTAAGGGCTGTCTTGCTATACAGGTAAGAGTCTCTCGGGTGACAAGCGTCTCTGGAAGTAGCTCTCTTCCTGGTGCAGAAATATCTTTACAAATGGAAATTTCCCTTATAAATAGAAATTTCCTTTATGAAAGGGAAAATTTATACTCTATTTTCAGGCAGTTAGGGGAGGTTAATAGCTCCTGTTGCTTTTCAAACACCTTTAAGTCTAAAGAATCCATATGTTGGCCGGGCACGGTGGCTCACGCCTGTAATCCCAACACTTTGGGAGGCCGAGGCAGGCGGATGACCTGAGGTCAAGAGTTTGAGACCAGCCTGGCCAACATGGTGAAACCCTGTCTCTACTAAAAATATAAAAAATTAGTCAGGCGTGGTGTCACATGCCTGTAATCCCAGCTACTCAGGAGGCTGGGACAGGAGAATCGCTTGAACCTGGGAGGCAGAGGTTGCTGTGAGCCGAGATCGCACCACTGCACTCCAGCCTGGGCAACAAGAGTGAAACTCCATCTAAAACAAAAAGAAAAAAAAAGAATCCATATGCTAAAGAGGCATATTTCAGGGTGGCATATGCTGGTACCCTTCAGGAGTGAGGGGAGATGGAAGGGTGGAGGAGGCAGGGGTCGGGTCATTTAGACATGGAGTCTAGCATCTTGAGGGTGATGGGAATCAGGAGGCTGGAGAACTGCAGACTCAGGGTCCGATGTGCATTTTAGACCCATCCTGGGAAGTTGTGGGTGGCCTGGGGCAGAGGAGACTAGCAGCCGAGCAGCCTGTCAGGGCCAGTCGGAAGCCCGAGGAAGGGGCAGTGTGACTTAAACTGAGGTTGGAGCAGGTGGAGAAGCAGAGACGCAGTTGAGAGAGACGGGAAGTAGAGCACTGGAGGGGGGGCTCCGGCTGTCTCCCTGAGTTCTACACGAGGGGTCCTCACGAGGAAGAGGATTGGGAAAGGGGTGACAAGAAGTTCGCCCCATGTCCCACAATTCCACCCAGACGGTTCTCGTCAAGGTCACCGATGACCTCCACGCTGCTAAATCCGCCGTCATTGCATTCTGAGATTCCACGCACCTGGCCACCAGCTGCTCCCGGCGCCTGTGGCCCACACTCTTCTGTGCTTTCTGCCCCTTCACAGGCTCTTCTTTGCCCGCAGCCTCTGCTGGCCCCTCCGGGTAAGCTTGATTGTAGAGAGGGAGTCCAACACCCTGTCCCAGGCAGGCCCCCTGCTCCTGGTGGACCCCTGCAGCCCCACAGTCGCCTCGCTCTGCATACCAGTTCTTGCTCACTTCCCGGTTCGTGTCTCTGTCCTTTCCGCTACTCTCAGTTCCCGTCCCCGCTGCCCAGCTGCCCATGCAGCTGTCACCATATGGCGTCTCACATTTACCGTGTCCAACACAGAATTCTGGATTTCCATGCACAGACCAGCTCCTCTCCCTGCCCTCCTCATCGCAGTAAATGACGCACTGTCTATGCAGTGGCTTAAGCCCAAAATTCCTCTTTCCCCAGCCCCACCCCCATGCCCATCCATTCCTTTTGAGAGTCCTGTAAATGCTTCCTTATTTAAACTAGGTCTTGAGTGCAGCAGCCTCCTGGCTGGTCATCCTCGCCACTTCTCCTCTCGTCCTGCCCTGCCCATCTCTAACAAGCAGCCAGAAGAATCATTCACAAATGTTAATTACATCTTGTTCCTCTTTTGTTTAAAACACTCCTGGCCAGGCGCGGTGGCTCACGCCTGTAATCCCAGCACTTTGGGAGGCCAGGCGGGCAGATCACGAGGTCAGGAGATAGAGACCATCTTGGCTAAAAAGGTGAAACTCTGTCTGTACTAAAAATACAAAAAAAAAAAAAAAATTTAGCCAGGTGTGGTGGCACGTGCCTGTAGTCCCAGTCACTCGGAGGCTGAGGCAGCAGAATCTCTCGACCCAGGAGGTGGAAGCTGCAGTGAGCTGAGATGGCGCCACTGCACTTCAGCCTGGGCGACAGAGCCAGACTCTGTCTCAAAACAAAAAAAACAAACAAAAAAACAGGCCAGGGCTCTCAGTGGCCCACACCTGTAATCCCAATGTTTTGGGAACCTGAGGTAGGAGTATCACTTGAGGCCAAGAGTTCGAGACCAGCCTGACCAAAAGGTAAAACCCCATCTCTACTAAAAATACAAAAAAATTAGCCAGGCATGGTGGCGGACACCTGTAGGTAGTCCCAGCTACTTGGGAAGCTGAGGCAGGAGAATCGCTTGAACCCAGGAGGCAGAGGTTGCAGGGAGCCTAGAGCATGCCACTGCACTCCACCTGGGTGACGGAGCCAGACTCTGTCTCAAAAAAGTAAATAAATAAATAAAAATAAAATACTACTACTTAGCATGTAAGTGTTAATAAAAATTATCCTAACAACTTTATGAGGAAGCGTCCTAGTCTGTTTCACATTGCCATAAAGGAATAGCTTCGGCTGGGTAATTTAGAAAGAAAAGACGTTTCTGTAGCTCATGGTTCTGTGTGTTTACGTGGCACCAGCATCTGCATTGATGAGGCCTCAGGCTGCTTCCACTCATGGAGGAAGGCAAAAGGGAGCAGGTTCCACATGGCAGGAGAGAGAGGAGGGGGTGCCGGGCTCTTTCTAACAAGCAGCTCTTGCAGAACAAATGAGAACTCACTCACGTGAGAATCGCACCAGGCCACTCAGAAGGGCTCTTCCCCACGACCCAAACGCTCCCACCGGTCCCCACTTCCAACACTGAGCTCACATTTCAACATGAGACTCGGTGGGGCCAAACGAACCACTTCCAAACCAGAGCAGAGAGATACTAGTATTATCTCTATTTTCTTTTCTTTTCTTTTTATTTTTTTTGAGGCAGAGTCTCACTCTGTTGCCTAGGCTGGAGTGCAGTGGCACGATCTCAGCTCACTGTGATCCACACCTCCTGTGTTCAAGAGATTCTCGATTCTCGTGCCTCAGCCTCCCAAATAGCTGAGACTGCAGGCACACGCCACCACGCCTGGCTATTGCGTGTATGTGTGCATATTTTTAGTAAAGAAGGGGTTTTGCCATGTTGTCCAGGCTGCTCTCGAACTCCGGACCTCAAGGGATCTGCCTGCCGTGACCTCCCAAAGTGCTGGGATTACAGGTGTGAGCCACCATGCCTGGCCTATATCATTATTATTTTATTAACAATTAATAATGTTATTTTAAGTTGAGGCACAGAGAGGTCAAGTAGCTTGCCCAAGACCCTACAGTTAGAAAAATTACAGAAATAGGATTCAAACCAAGCCCGTCCGATTAGTGGACCTGGGCTTTTATAAAGAGCATATGCCCTCTGTGCGTCATTTTGCACCTGCTCCATTAGCAGTTTTAAACATTGTTGTAACATTGTGTAATGTGAATGTCCCAATGGGCAAGATTGGGGGAAACAGGCACCCTTGCTGGCCATGTGCACTGATAACGTATCCCGTCGGAAGAGCCATCTGGAACTGGGTAAGGAGAGCTGCAGAGGTGCTCCCTTGTTTTCCCAGCAGCCCCCCTCTCCCCCCTCGAGCTGGTCCTATGGAGCGATTTTCCAGGAGACGCAGGGGGAGCAGCACCATGGTTCAGGCTGAGCCTCCAGAGGGGCAGAGGTGCATGGGGCCACATGGATCAACTCTCGCATCCTTGGCTTGGAGCATTTGAAAACTGTTTTATCTGTTGCCTCGGGTGTGGTCAGGCCCTGGACATTTATAGAATGTGTCATTGTTGTTCCTGGGAGGCATCTGCTTCCCCACTCCCATCCAGAGCTTTCTGTTTCAGCATCCTTCCCAGCTGGGCAGCAGGGTGGCCCTCCCCTGTGTTCCTGGGCTGCTTCCATGTTACCTTTGTTTCTCTCGTAGATTTTCTCTGCCTGTCCAGCTGACTCTCATGTGAACCTGTGCACTTAACGCATCAAGGGCAGAAGCCCTGCTTGATTTGGGTCAAGTACTTACAGCCATTCTTCTCATGTGTTCAGGGCATTTACAGCTGAGCCCTATGACTCCCCCCCACTGGAGGTGAAGCAGGGATTATGATCCCCTTTTATAGATTAGGAAACTGAGACTCAGAGAGGACACCTGTCTTTCTTAGGTGATGTGGCTTGGCTATGTCCCCGCTCAAATCTCATCTTGAATCCCCACGTGTTGTGGGAGGGACCCAGTGGGAGGTTACTGAATCATGGAGGAAGGTCTTTCCCATGCTGTTCTCATGACAGTGAATAAGTCTCGTGAGATCTGATAGCTTTAAAAAGAGGAGCTCCCTGCACAAGCTCTCTCTTTGCCTGCTGCCATCCATGGAAAACATGACTTGCCCCTCCTTGCCTTCCGCCATGACTGTGAGGTCTCCCCAACCATGGGGAACTGTAAGTCCATTAAACCTCTTTTTCTTCCCAGTCTCAGGTATGTTTTATCAGCATCGTGAAAATGAACAATACATTAGGTCACATGGTTAATTTAGTGGAAGATGCTGGTCTAGAAAGCAGGTTCTTTGCCCTGTTGTGTGTCAGTGGAATGACGTGAATCCTGCAGGACTCCAGAAGTTCAGCTGCTGGAGCTCTGCAGATCTCTGAGGGAGTCTACATGAGCCCATGTGAGGAAGCTTTGGTCTGAGATAGATAGATAGATAGGTAGATAGATAGATAGATAGATAGATGGATAGATAGATAGATAGATAGATAGATGGATAGATAGATAGATGATAGATAGAAAGGTAGGTGGGTAGGTAGATAGATACACATAGAGAAAATCTCACAAGTTTCTTTCTACCTTAAACCTTCTTAATTCATCCCAACTCACTTTCATCCCCTGCCGGTGGCATGGGGAAAGCCTCTATGGGGTACATTTATAGCAGTAGCTATATGGATTTCAAATGTACATACTCTCTTTAATGCAGCAATTCCACCTCTAGGAATTTGTCCTTTACCCTGAAGTATTGGATGTACAGTGTGATTTACTGCAGTCTGTCGGCACTGGCTGCAAGAGCAAGAGGCTGGAAACACACTAAACACCCATTAGTGGGGAAACAGACTGAAGACACCTAAAATGCTACCAGCCCCTCCCGCCCACTCTTCTGCTATAGAACTATCTGTAAGGCATAAGTATTAGGTGGAAAAAGGCAAGATGCTTGAGAGAATGGAGCGTGTGCTACCATTTTGGAAATCAAGGGAAATATGTGTATGTGCATTTGACACTGGCACTGCCTGCCCCTGGGGAGAACTGGATGGCCGGGGCAGGAGAGCACAGGTGGACGCTGCCCTGCACACCCTTTTGTACATTTTGAACACTGAAGTTTGTGAATGCTTTGACAATTCATCCATCAAGACTAAAATACGTGTCCCTGTCTGCCTTTTCTCACATTCCTTGTAGGCAGGCTGCAGTGCCACTAGGCTGCCGGGTGATGGACAGACGAGCACTAGAGATGCGTCCCTGCAGGAGCCCCCCGTCATACCCTCCCGTTCAGGTCATCCGGGTCCGAGTGTCTTCCAGTAGCTCCTCCGAGGTCCCCTCCATCAACTCTGACCTGGAGGTACACGGCTGTTGCCTGCCGGGCGGGTGTGTGGGTGCCATCGTTCGCTGACACTTGCTGGGTGCTCCTGGGGCTTGCACAGCTGTTCTCATCTTACCCACATTAACCTCACACCTGCTACATAATGAATGAGGCCGGGCACGGTTGTTCATGCCTGTAATCTCAGCACATTGGGAGGCCAAGGTGGGCAGATCACCTGAGGTCAGGAGTTCGAGACCAGCCTGGCCAACATAACGAAACCCCGTCTCTACTAAAAATACAAAAATTAGCCAGGCATGCTGGCTCATGCCTGTAGTTCCAGCTACCCAGAAGGCTGAAGCAGGAGAATCACTTGAACCTAAGAGGCGGAAGTTGCAGTGAGCAGAGATTGCACCATTGCACTTCAGTCTGGGCACCAGAACAAGACTCCATCTCAAAAAAAAAAAGAAAAGAAAAATGAATGAATTTCTTTGGGGCTCCTACAGTCTATGTCAGTACTGATAAGAGGTTTCCATGGTCACATTAATTGCAGGAGCAGTGCATATTGGAGTCTGATCTTCATAGATCGCTTGCACGATAAATGCATGAGTAATAACATTTTTAAAAGTCTCAGTGTTGGCTGGGTGCGGTGTCTCACACCTGTAATCCCAGCACTTTGGGAGGCTGAGGCGGGCAAATCACCTGAGGTCAGGAGTTTGAGACCAGCCTGGCCAACATGGCGAAACCCCAACTCTACTAAAAGTACAAAACTTAGCTGGGTGTGGTGGTGGGTTCCTGTAATCCCAGCTGCTCAGGAGGCTGAGGCAGGAGAATCGCTTGAACCCAGGAGGTGGAGGTTGCGGTGAGCTGAGATCGTGCCACTGTACTCCAGCCTGAGTGACAAGATCGAAATTCCGTCTCAAAAAAATGAATGAATTAACTAAAAATACAATTAAAAAAATAGCTGGGTGTGGTGGCGTGTTCCTGTAATCCCAGCTACTCAGGAGGCTGAGGCAGGAGAATCACTTGAACCCGGGAGGTAGAAATTGCAGTGAGTGGATAGCACACCACTGCACTCCAGCTTAGGTGACAGAGCGAGACCCTGTCTTTTTAAAAAAAAAAAAAAAAAGTCTCAGTGTTTCTCAAACTAATTTACCCATGGGAGCTTTTCTTCTTCCTGAAAAACCAGCTGTATCCTCCTGTGCTGGTGGTACCATACACAAGTGGGCCCTGCGGTGGGCATCATGGCTGACACTTGCATAAACTTTACCTCATTTTGAGTTTTTGTTGTTTTTTCTTTTGAGATGGAGTCTCATTCCGTCGCCCGAGGCTAAAGTACAGTGGTGTGATCTCGGCTCACTGCAACCTCTGCCTCCTGGGTTCAAGCGATTCTCCTGCCCCAGCCTCTCAAGTAGCTGAGACTACAGGTGCCCGCCATCATGCCCGGCTAATTTTTGTATTTTGAGTAGAGACAGGGTTTCACCATATTGGCCAGGATGGCCTCAAACTCCTGACCTTGTGATCCACCCACCTTGGCTTCCCAAAGTGCTGGGATTACAGGGGTGAGCCACCGCCCCTGGCCTTGAGTTTTTCTATCTACTAATCACACACAGGCGTAGCTCTCTCACTTGGTCCCACAGTTTGTGCGTCCCAGCCCTATTCAGTGAGGAAGTTTCCATTTGTCTGTGGAAAAGTGAGAACACAGGGACAATGTGGTGACCGCTTGCACATCAGTAGACAATTGTCAGCTGTCTTCGGCGGGGGAAGAGGACTGTCTTTCTTAAATGCCCTTTTCGGAAAGAATGGTAATAGGAAGCAGTAGTTAGTGTCAAGTTTTTGGTTTGGGTTTTAATTGGCCTTATTTGGCCAACTAAAGTCCCCTAAGATTGGTTGAACTTGTACTGGCCCTTGAAATCTGAAACTCAGTACCACTGACTGGGATGAAGTCTGGATTCCGCAGGGTGGCAGCTCTGGCCTTTCACAGGCTGCCCAGCCTCAGGCGCCCCCTGCCCTCACTGGGCACACTGCCTGTCATGGGCTGTTCTCTGGCCCCAGGCCTTTGGCCTCATTGCCACAGCTCAGAATCTGACCCAGAGACTAATGGCTCCTTCCTCTGAGTGCCCCGAGCATATACCTTTTTTTTTTTTTTTGAGACAGAGTGTCACTCTGTCACCCAGGCTGGAGTGTGGTTGCACGATCTCTCTTCACTGTAACCTCTGCCTCCCAGGTTCAAGAGATTCTGGGTGCCTCAGCCTCCCCAGTAGCTGGGATTACAGGTGCCCACCACCATGCCCGGCTAATTTTTGTGTTTTTTTAGTAGGGATGGGGTTTCACCACGTTGGCCAGGCTGGTCTCGAACTCCTGACCTCAGGTGATCCACTCAGTTTGGCCTCCCAAAGTGCTGGGATTATAGGCGTAAGCCACCATACCTGGCCCCAGAGCACATACCTTTCTGACACCACTTCCACTGCTGGCCGTGTGCCCTGGTGAGCCATGGAGGCCTGGGTTGTCTTCGCGTCTCTCCCTCCATCCTGGAGCATGGCTGGTCCCGGAGGGCTGGGTTTGAGTTGGGAATTCTGCATGCTTTGGGCTTGTACTCCTGTGTCATTCTGTGTTGTCTGGTTCTTGGATCTGGTCTCAGAATTTGTAGGGCACCCAAGGCTAGTGGCTGGCAGCCTGGGGCCCGCAGTCCTGGCAGAGATCTAAGGCTAAAGGGGAACCGAGTGAGCATGGCAGCAGGGTACGCTCAGGGGGCAGGGATGGTGAAGTTGGTGGGTCTGGGGTGGGCGGGGGAGAGGGAGAAGCAATATTTGCTCTGTGAAAACAAAGTTGAGGCTTGCCACCCACCCTCAGTTGGGCCGTTTTTCTGTTTTGCATTCCTTGCTCTTTCTCTACTCTTCTCTCTCTGTTTTCTAGAAATCTATTGTTAAAAATATGTAAATTCCAGCTGGGTGCAGGTGGCTTACACCTGTAATCCCAGCACTTCGGGAGGCTGAGGTGGGTGGATCACCTGAGGTCAGGAGTTTGAGACCAGCCTGGCCAACATGGCGAAACCCTGTTTCTACTAAAAATGCAAAAATTAGCCGGCTGTGGTGGCAGGCGCCTGTAGTCCCAGCTACTTGAGAGGCTGAGGCAGAAGAATCTCTTGAATCTGGGAGGCAGAGGTTGCAGTGAGCTGAGACCTGCCATTGCACTCCAGCCTGGGTGACAGAGTGAGACTCCCTCTCAGAAAAAAAAAAAAAAGGCAGATATCCAGGGGAACATACCCTGATCTCTGCTGGTGCCAGAAAGTTTAGAGAGAGAACACAAGAGCCTTAGGCACAGAATCAACAGGGACACACGGGCCTGAGACTTGGCCCTCTTCCGACAGAGCAATCTGGCATTTGGCCCTGTTCCCATGGCCCACACAGGTGCATGGACTTGTGTATACACACGCACACACACATGCACACCCACACGCACACCCACACACACACACGCACACACAACACACCCACATATGATTGCACTGGCTCCAGCCACAGGCATTCCCCAGTATGCAGACTTTGTTCCAGTGACAGAAACAGCCTCTTTGCAGAATTCCTACAAAGCTTACACCAGGTCTCTGGCATTGCTGGGAAGCACAGAAGGGGAAAAATGACTAGATGCTGTAAATGTACTTTTGTCACCAAGTGGACTGAACTTGCTCTTGAATCCCAGAGGCTAAAGAAAAAGAAGCCGGTAATCCCAGCACTTTAAGAGGCTGAGGCGGGTGGATCACCTGAAGGCAGGAGTGTGGGACCAGCCTGGCCAACATGGTGAAACCCTGTCTCTACTAAAAATACAAAATATTCGGTGGGTATCATGGCGGGCACCTGTAGTCCCCGCCAGGACCTTCCCCACGCACCCAGACAGCTTGCTATTCTCTGGGTTTCTTTGCCTATCTGTCTTGTCCTCCTACCTTTCACTGTCCTGTCTAAATCCTCCTTCCAGGAAGCCTTTCCTGATCCTGAGTAGGGCTGTCAGATATAGCAGGTAAGAAATACAGGCCACCGGCCGGGCGCAGCGGCTCACGCCTGTAATCCCAGCACTTTGGGAGGCTGAGGCGGGTGGATCACCTGAGGTCAGAAGTTGGAGACCAACCTGGCCAACATGGCAAAACCCCCATCTCTACTAAAAATACAAAAATTAGCTGGGCATGATGGTGGATGCCTGTAATCCCAGCTACTCAGGAGGCCGAGGCAGGAGAACTGCTTGAACCCCAGAGGGAGAGGTTGCAGTGAGCTGAGATCACACTGCTTCACTCCAGCCTGGGTGGCAAGAGCGAGACTCCGCCTCAAAAAAAAAAAAAAAAAAAAAAAAAAGAACTGAAGCTGGTGTGTGTCTGGCCAGTCTTAAAACTTTATTTTTTTTATTTATTTATGAGACGGAGTCTCGCTCTGTCACCCAGGCTGGAGTGCAGTGGCACGACCTCAGCTCACTGCAGCCTCTGCCTCCCAGGTTCAAGCGATTCTCCTGCCTCAGCCTCCTGAGCAGCTCCTGACCCCATGATCTGCCCACCTCGGCCTCCCAAAGTACTGGGATTACAAGTGTGAGCCACCACACCTGGCCAAAACTTTATAATCCATCCCCAGTTCAGCACCATCTCACCTCCCCAAAAGTACAGAGACATCACTTCTCCCCAAATGTAAGAGTAAAGAGTTGGACAAATGGTTTTTGAGGCTCCATCCAGCTTCCACAGTCTAAAATGTAAGCCTAGAAAGTGACCCTATTTTCTCAATCACTTAGGCACATCCTAAACTCTTCAGGAATTAAGGAAACATTACTACATGCTGTACAGACAAAGGCTATAGGATGCTTCTAGATTTCAGAAGCATAGAAAATTGTGCTTTTAGTCATGAGGCGAATTAAAATACTGTATGCAGTGGTTTGAGGAGGCGATAGAATCATGTTTCTGAAGATGATTCTGGGGCATGTGGAAATGCTCATATGTTAAAGGAGAAAAGTCATTTGCTTTTATTATTTTATACATAATACATATGTGTTTCAGAGGGCTATTTAATAACTTTTTAGAGGCTGTCTTTTAAGGATAGAATTATGGTAGATTTTGTTTTTTTGTAAGACGGAGTCTCCCTCTGTCCCCCAGGCTGGAGTGCAGTGGCACCATCTCGGCTCACTGCCACCTCTGCCTTCCAGGTTCAAGCAATTCTCCAACCTCAGCCTCTTGAGTAGCTGCGATTACAGGTGTGTGCCACCACGCCCAATTAATTTTTGTATTTTTAGTAGAGATGGGGTTTCACCAGGTTGGCCAGGCTGGTCTTGAACTTCTGATCCACCCTCTTTGGCCTCCCAAATTGCTGGGATTACAGGTGTGAGGCATCTCACCCAGCCAGATCTTTGTTTGAAAATGCCATATAATTTTATTTATTAGTTTGGGGGTTGAGGAGAGACCTCAGGTATCAAGATTTGCGTTAATTGTACTCCGTAGGCACATTGTCATTAGCGGTTTATAAAGTAACTTTCAAAATATTGACTATCCCCACTAGAGGGCACTCTTCTTAAATTTTAGATTGCCTGTAACAGTGAAGATTTAAGATCTTAAGTTTCAAGATTTCATTTTAACACAGTTGGGGACTGGAGCCTACTTATTTGTTTGCTTGTTTGTTTGCTTGGCTTTAAATAAACTTTTTTTTCTAAGTTAACTTTTTCTACCCTCGTTTATATCATCTACATTTCTGTCTTTTGCAGAGTGAATGGAACAATCAATTTAGTAATTTGTATCTCTTCCAAACACCCTTTTTTTCAGTTTATGTTCCCAGAGCAGGATACTATTAAAAAGATGAATGCTAAGGAATTATCACTAATTTTGTTAGGTATAATAATGTTATTGTGCTTAGTTTTTTTTTTTTAAGTCCTTATCTATGAGATACATTTTGAAATATTTATGGATTAAATGATTTACACCTGGCTGGGCATGGTGGCTCATGCCTGTAATCTCAACACTTTGGGAAGCCAAGGCAGGCTGATCACTTGAGGTCAGGAGTTCAAGACTAGCCTGGCCAACATGGTGAAACCCCGTCTCTATTAGCCGGGCATGGTCATGGGGGCCTGTAATCCCAGCTACTCAGGACGCTAAGGCAGGAGAATCGCTTGAACACGGGAGGCGGAGGTTGCAGTGGGCCAAGATCATGCCATTGGACTCCAGCCTGGGTGACATGAGTGAAACTCCATCTCAAATAAATAAATAAAATGAAAATTAGGTCAGGTGCAGTGGCTCTTGCCTGCCTGGGCAACAAGAGTAAAACTCCATCTCAAATAAATAAATAAATGAAATCAAATGAATTTAGGCCAGGTGCAGTGGCTCATGCCTGTAATCCCAGCACTTTGGGTAGCTGGGGTAGGAGGATTGCTTGAGCTCAGGAGTTCAAGACCAGTCTGGGCACCAGAGGGAGCCCTCATGTCTACTAAAAAAATAAAATAAAATAAAATTATCCAGGCATGGTGGTACATACCTGTAGTCACAGCTACTCAGGAGGCTGAGGCAGAAGGATCACTTGAGCCCAAGAGGTGGAGGCAGCAGTGAGCTATGACCATGTCCATGCACTCCAGCCTGGGTGGCAAAGCAAGCCCCTCTCTCAAATTAATTCCTTTTTTAAAAATGAAAAATTTAAAGAGTTGAACATACTTTGTTTTAATGTGATAATAACCCTAAATCCTGTGGACCGTTCAGACTGCCTGCTATTTAACAGTCACGTACAGATCAATGTAACAGATACTCATAGATCCTTAGCTTTATGTCAGAAACATATATTTCCTGCCAGGCATGGTGGCAGGGAATCCTGTAATCCCAGCACTTTGGGAGGCCGAGGTGGGCAGATCACAACGTCAGGAGTTCGAGAACAGCCTGGCCAATATGGTGAAACCCCGTCTCTACTAAAACTACAAAAATTAGCTGGTCGGGCCAGGCGCGGAGGCTCAAGCCTGTAATCCCAGCACTTTGGGAGGCCGAGGCGGGTGGATCACGAGGTCAAGAGATCGAGACCATCCTGGTCAACATGGTGAAACCCCGTCTCTACTAAAAATACAAAAAATTAGCTGGGCATGGTGGCACGTGCCTGTAATCCCAGCT